ACCCAAATATGGAATGGCTGGTGTTGCGAAAATCAACTCCTTCTTATGATACAAAGTGGATGGTGGAAATAACATGCCTTTGACCTGATTGACTAGGTGTTTGAACTTGGCCAAAGAATACCCACCACTGCAAACTGCTGATTTAAGAAGGGAAAGTTTATCATCTACAAATGATTGAGTGGAACATCCTGCATATCAGCACTATAATAGCATAGTTTCTGTACCTGGAGGGTTGAAAAGCCATATAAGGCATGTTATAAGGAGGTTTATCAAATTTATGATACACAGAAAATAAGATGCTGTTGGGAAAGCTATGTATGAGCAGATCAAAAAAGATCTTTGAATTGTTTTCCTCCTTTTTAGTAAACAAAATAGTTGGAAAAATAGCCAACAGTGATTGTATAAAATCCAGTAACTTTACTAGCATGGAAAGGCCCCAATGAAAAGTATTGTCAACATACCTCAAATGTAGAAGAGAATAATGTATGGTGAGAGATGATCTAAAAATTTTGAACTCTACAGTTCTCATGACTAACTCAACCAAAAAAGCCAATAGAGGCGAATCCATAGACACTCCCTGCTTTTGTAAGTAAATGTTTCCATTGAAACAGAAATAATTGTTTTCAGTAATTAGTAAAAGCACCTCTCTCAACCCTAGAATCTGTGATATGTAACAACCATTCTCAATTAATAAGGTGTTTTCAAGCATGACTGACTTCTTCAAAATGGGGAACAGATGGATTAAAGTGACCACATCTATTTTTAAAAGTTGTGATGGGGTCACTTTATATCCGTCTGTAAGAGATTAACTTCAAGCTGCACTGGTCACAAACTTCCCTTCTAAAATGCTGTGGTGATAGAAAAACATTATTCATATGGGAATTCCTTTACATCTCAACAATTTCATGATGTAACTCCCCCATGCTAGATATACCGGAACTGTGAATAGCGCTATTTAACCTCCTAAAGCATAAAGCATGGTTTGTGATAAAACAACTCGCAGTGTCATTGGCACTGCTATACATTTAGTTTTGTTTATTTACTACTTATTTTATTATTAATTATTTTAATCCAGTTTTATTTTTAATGTTTTTCTTTTATATTTAATTGTGGTTTTGTAATAATATATAATTTTGTAAATTGTATATATGTAATTTTCAATGCTGAGTTATATACTTTTGAAAGTACTCGCAAAATAAATATTTTTATATAATGCCAACAGACAGTGGTGTATGTTAACTTTCTCTAATATGGAAAGTTCAGTGTGACACACCTGGATGCCACATGGCATTCAACATCTTAATCATCAGAAAAAATGAAAAAGGTGTTAAGCATGTAGACTGAAAATCAGTCACAAAACAATGCTCATTTGATTGGCATTATTATCCGTGAAAGATGTACTAAAATGGTCAAATAGATGCTTCATGTAGTAGTCAAAATAAATTATGTTCAGTCATTTGCTGCTTCCAAATTTTAAAAAAATGAATTTGAAGATTGTAAAAGGGTGAATATTATGGAAAATGTTGTGTTACTTCAACAGAAATTTGTTAAAGTATTTTAAAAAATAAATAAGTATATGCAAGCTATAATAATTATTTTTATCACTATACTTTTAGGTTCAAAATAAAAAAATTATTTTTAATTATTTTTAAAATATGATTTTGCTTTCTCATCATATATCATACATCTACAACAGCCGTAAATGCTGTTGTAGATGTATGATATATGATGGGGCTCAGGCTATATTTTGATATATGATGGGGATCAGGCTATATTTTGGCCCGATCATTTATGGCTGTTGTAGATATATTAGCTTAAGGTATCGGGTTTCAATGAAAATATATTTATCATCATATATATTTTCAATCCCATAGCCTTACATTGCCTTTTAATATTCATGGTAGTTTTGCAAATGCAACTTCTGCAAATATGAAGACAACTGTAATTTGTAAAATATGGGGTAGTTATAATAATTAAACAGGTGTTAAGAGTTTTGTGTAGAAAGAACTAATGGACCAAATGCAGTCCCATAGTTAGGAATGCAAGGGCAAGCTGAAAAAATTCTGACTGGTATTTTTCTTTTCCCAGCCAGCTCTAGGTCTGTTAGCTACAATCCAAGTGTAAAAAATTTAAATTAGCTTAAGTTTGTGTGATGAAAAGTACTGCACATAATAAATACTGCATGTGGTACTGATGACTGAGCTGAAGGGACTTAGTCACATCATATCCTCTTTGCAACCATGGTGGCATAATTTCCTGACTATGAAATTCTGATTTAACAAATAAAAAGTTAGTGCCAAATTTCACTCCATCAGGAATTTTTAATGCTACTGCAATTTATGTTAAATAAGTTGACAAAGAAATTCAGGGAATACAGAGGAGCTGAGACAAAATACAATGATTTTGAGTAGCAACTCTCCATAGGCTAATAATATTACATATGGTATTTTATGCATTTGGAAATGTTCAAATAACCAATAAATCAGACTAATTGTTCCACTCTAAATGTCTCCATCTCCCTGTTGTAAAGCATGCATTTGATGAACAACATACCAGCAAAACTGACTTGGCTATCTCACATGTAGTGAAATTCTGTCTTTTAAGACAACTAACAAAGAAAGTAAATCAAATGACTACCTGACATTTAAGTCATTTTGTTTACTTTTCTTGCAAGTTAGGAACCATTGTCCTGATAAACAAGGCTCTTTAAGTATCCCTATAACAAAAAGTTACAAGGCCAAGTCTAATGATCATGATGTGACCATGCTGGTGAAAATGGTTGGTTAATCACTGTTTTATCTGTGAAGTGATAACACAATAAACTTTGCACATTGATGCTGATATGAGCAGTACTGCTCATATCAGCATCAATGTGCAAAGTTTATTGTGTTATCACTTCACAGATAAAACAGTGATTAACCAACCATTTTCACCAGCATGGTCACATCATGATCATTAGGCTTGGCCTTCTGATTTTATTGAAATATATATACTTTTTTCTTTTTAAAGAAAACACTAACAGAACAAGTTACTGGCCCATATGCAATGCCACTAGTTATGAAGACATGCTTCAAAACTTTGTCATTCCTGCAATTTAGCACCAAAACTATTTAGCTACAAATGCTCACCTGTTTAGAAAAATATATATACAGGGTGTATCAGAATGACGTTTTAAAAATTTGGGGGATTGTAGAGGATGAAATTTTAATGTTTTGATATAAGGAACCTATAACCGGAAATTTGAACTAAAGTGTCTACAGCGGTAGGAAGTGCTTGACCGCCCTTCACTTTGATAGCTACCCTTCTGTCCATTGACGTCATGTTATTACTGTGGATGGAAGACTGTAAACACATAACTACAGTGGTCTAACTGAGCCTGTATACAGGACGTTGTGTACTTAGTGCTTGTTGTCCTTCAGAGGGGAGCATGGCATCTTACAGAGAGTCGGACAAAACATGGTTCATTGTTGCACATTATGTAACGAAGTTGGTGGTCGTCACATTGAACATTTACTCTAAAGTAGTGCAGTGCAGCACTGATTCGATATATAGTTTGATTGTACTCTACTGTTTTGTCAATAAAACTTGTCATTAATACTGTATTCTGCTGTTTCATTCAGCATACTGACCGCATAGAACGTGCAAAGTGCTGTGGACACTTTAGTTCAAATTTCTGTCTATAGATTCCTTATATTAAAACGTTCAAAATTTCATCCTCTACAATCCCCCAGATTTTTAAAACGTCATTCTGATACACCCTGTATGATGTAAGGTTTGCTGACTGCGTTAGTCAGGATCATCATGCTATCATGACTATCATGTGGGAGTGGAAAAAACTTTGAGACAGGTTCTTCATTGTTTCCCGTTTAATAAATATAAAAATTTCTCTTATAACAATTCTTATAATAAGGCATAATACCTCTCAATAGGTGGGAAAAAGTCCAAATGTTCCATCTGTCACTTAATAAAACATTTAACACCTTATAACGCTGAGAATATTTCTTGTACCTTGAAACATTTGTGATTTAATAAAGTTTAAGGAAAAGATATATCAAGAAAATGACATGGATCTTGACTAAGCAACTACCAAAAAAGAAAAAAAAAATGAACGTAAGGAAGTTCTTTATAAAAGAAAAGTTAAAACACACAAATTCTTAGTCCCTATCTGCCCTTTATAATGTGATGCTTTTTGGTGTATATTTTTATGCATTTAATCTTTTATGTTTATTTTTTGTTTTTATATTGCCTTATTTTATTTATTTTAGTATAGTTATTTTGTATATTGGTTGGCTAATTTTATTTTTCGTTTTAATTTTGAATTTATAATGATCGAACATTCCATTTTAACACAATTTTCAAATTCGTTCGGCAGCCAGTCACCTGATGATGGCCTATTCTATTAGGCCGAAAACGTTTGTAATTTAATAAATATTCTCAGCGTTATAAGGTGTTAAATGTTTTATTAAGTGTTTTAAAAGAAAGCTGAGTTTGATATTCAATTAATTAGTTCCATCTGTCCTCTTCTGGCAATGGAGGCATGAAGAGCAACAGCCCTGGGGTGCACGGCACTGCTTCGGAAGTTGTCTTTCATGAATAGGTGAACCTGGATGATACGGGAGAGCAGAGTTAAATCCTCGGACATTGATAAAGGCTTCTGTTGGTGAATGGCAGGATCACAAAATTCCTGGAGGGGAGCACTACAAACCAAAAACATCATGTCCCTTCCTACTACTTCCACTTTCCAATTGGTCTTCACTCGTTACAAAATGTAACAAGATCATCAGAACCCAGATTATGGGATGAGTCAATACCGACTGTCAATTCGATCCCTATTGAAGATGTTTGATCTTAGGACTCTTATCTCCCTCTTTTCTAACAATTCCATCAAACATGTCCTTATATGGGCATTTACCCTTTTCTTAAATGGTTTTATAAAAAAATTTTCTACCACAAACCACACCAAAAAAGAAAGTNATATATAATACAACATGAAATAAATTTATAGGCCTATATATATATACACATTATATACAGTGAATAATAATAACAATAGAACTGCTTCAGCATTAAAGCAGATTACAATAAAAGTGCATTTATCTAATTGAACACTATCTTTTGAGAATGAGTGTTTGCTTATTATGAAGCATTCATAACCATCTTGAGCATACTTTGTAGGAGCTCAGTCATTATGAAAGAAATGTGAGATGCACACCAGAAAAAGACTATCTATAATACATTAAAACTGATTCCAGCTATTTGAGAAGTTGCTGTGAAAATACTAACAGTCTAGAAGCAATTTACAAATTTCTATAATATTGATTGTTGCTGCATAATCTTTTATGATTCAAAACAAATCTTGTTTAATATATTTACATATTAAATTTCTTTTTATATAAACACTTTAACAGTCCATTGCATAGGTATCCATCTGATAGATGCAACCTGGAGAGAATGGTCCATCTTGTATAATATTTAGTATTTCCATAACTGATTTATGTACATATATAAATCACAGGCATTTTAACTACCAATTATTGGACCAGATCAGGCTGCATCTGCCACGTTAAGAAAATGAAATTTTTTAGTTATTTGATGTTTTAGCATAAATATATGTAAACATCATACATATTTACTTTGTATAGTTATCATCTTTGTGATTAAGAAGACCGATAGAATTTAGCAATTGTAATCTATATACTAAGTTAAAAAGTAAAAGTTGCAGTTAAGCTTTAGCATACATAATTATGCAACAAAAAATGTTGGAGAAAAATAATAAACAAGCAATCTCAATATCTAATAATTTTATATAAAACTGTTAAAATCTTATAAATAATTTTAATTCATTTCAAATCTTCTTAAAAAAATGTCTTAAAAAATTCTGGAAGAGTTAAGATGATGATCACACAAACAAATACAGATGGTTGAAATATTAGTTTATGGTTACATTTATAATTCAATCATTAAAATAACATGCACACAACTTATTGCATACTTGACAATATTTCTGTTATGTGTAGGAAATACAACATTGTATTTTAATATAAATATTTTTGATTTCAAATAGAGAGTTTTTAGATCTATTTTTAACAAGATAAGTATAGGTACTTAAATTACTATGAATAAACAAAATTACCGATATGTTAAAATTTTTTTTAGCAAATATAAATTGCTAAGATAATACATCCCTGATATGAATTCCAAAAAACTTAAAACATACTTTACTTATAATTAATACATTTAAAAAATATAAAACTGATAAGTACATTAATAGATTCTTATTTGAAGACATAAAAAAATGGTAATGATATTTTTTGTAGATGAACTGTCTTCATATATACATATATTGATAATTTTATATAGCACACCATATTTTATTCCTTTTTTTCATATATATATATATATATTACATTTTTACATATTTTTGACAATTTCGATATATCTTAAAATCATACTATTTTGAAAGCAACAGTCACTTTATTAACACTGTACTTAAATTATTTGCAGAAACATTTCATAAAACTCTTTTCACTTTTTAATTGGCTAATTTTTTTTTTTACCAATTTTACCTTTTATATATTTATGTTTCTGTCATCAATGAATGAACTACCTGGACAAAGTGTACAATAAAGAACCATGTGAATCTTCTCTTTGAGCCATTGCATCTCCATAAAATTACCTAAACTGGATATATGCAATTCATTTCTTTTTTATAAAGTTCACATTTAAAAAATATAGTTTCTCCTAGTAGAAGATTCTTGTTCAAGTTTTCTTAGTGATATATTTTGGAGTGCTTCACTTGACTTACTTTCATTCACTTTTCTACTGCAAATGTAATTTTAGTATGTTTATAAAATTATCACAAGAAATCATCAAAGTGAAATAGAAAAAAATTAAGTAGTAATGGAACAAATTTATACTAATTTATCTTTTAAACAAAAATTAATTTTTTTTAATGCAATCTAAAGCAAAATATCTAATTCTATTGTTTCTATCAGCGTGATATTTTTAAAAAGTTTGAAGCAGGAATGCAAGCTTTTAGTATGCCTTTGTTTGTCATTTGATATCCAAAATCTTTTACCTACCTAATTTATTTTCTCTTTCTATAGGCAGCCAGTAAAAAAGAAAGGAATTTTCAGCTAAGATAATTATTTGGAAAATTAAAAAATTGTATTTTCTTTTAAGTATTGTGAAATTTAATAATGTGTTTATTTCAATGATTACATAGGTAACAAAAGTATGCAATTCATTAAACTAATAATTTTTTAATAAAAAATATCATAATAGTTTTTAATTCTGAACAGGAAAAATTATAAGTACTGAGTGTTAAATTAGTATTGTATGGTTAATTAAAATAAATACTAAATAATAATATAAATAATAACATATATAACACAAAATAAAAATAATTGTCTGATTTATTATCATAATAAATTTTAGAAAATATGAATTTTTTCACAATAATTGAAATCTTTTAAATTTGAATTTTAGAATTACTTATATTTTATCATCAATATAAATTATGCCTTTAACTTCATTATCATCAAAGAAAATTCAGAACAGATGGAACCTGTACTTTTATTTATAGCTGGACAATATTCAGGCCATTACAACTTACAGTTCTTTTTTACAGTTAAAGTTTAGTTATAATTAATTGTTATCTATACTACTATATAAAGAGACAACGTATTTTTCGTTTGTGACCACTAACCGTGAAAACTACTAAACCAATCGTTACCAAATTTTAAATGTAGCATCTTTATGACCCCCGGAATGTTTACCACTAATCAAACC